CCGCCGTTGAGAACCCCACATTTGGGACGGATAGGACTCCACCAGGGTGCTGCAGACCCCCCTGTAGAGGATAAGTAGGGTAAGAAGGTGGATAGTACAGAACTTAGATTGAGAAGATGTGCCATACTGAGTCCAAAGAAAGAAGACTCTGTATTGATCTTTAGATTAAGAAGATGTGCCATACTGAGTCTAAAGAAATAAGACTCTGTATTGATCTTTTTAACACATATGCTTGCTAGCAGAGGAATTACGGTTACTCCCAGACAGAACGTTTTATACAAGAAGTATGTCCATGCTTTTCTGAGGAAGGAAAGGTGCCAGAAAGGTAAATGTAGAGGCATGGGAGGAGGTAGGACCAAGAAGCCTTATCCTTAACCCCACTGCAGCTTTTCCACCCGGGGAAAGTGCAGGATTGGCAAGCTCTCCCTGGGGTGATAGATCAGGACTCAGGTAATAGCAGAAAGCGCCAATCCTACTCTTAAAATGGATACAAGAGAGCATTTGGGATTTTTCTTTTTAATGCCTGCTTTTAAAACCCAGTCCTTGATTTAGAAGTGCATTCCTTATGAAATGGTTCATCTCAAGCCTTGACCAGGGCCCTTCAGTATCCCAGCTGCCCTGAAGGAGTCCTGCAGTATTGCATTAGTTGCCTCAAATCAGCATCTACCTTTAGAGGCAGCAGAGTTCAGAACCCATACAAAATAAAAATAAGGAAAAATTTTAAACTTGAAAACAAATGTAACCATTTTAGGTCTATTGTACAGTATATGGATTGAATGGAGTTGATCCAATGATGCCTGTATGCAAATTCCAACACATTTTACATTTATTTCAGATTGATACAGAGAAACTTAGTTTGCCCAGTATATGTAATCTTCTTAAAAAGAAAGGCTGTCAGGAGTTACTTACGTAGTTACCACAAATGCCAGACTATTTCTTTTTTTGTTGTTGTTAATCCTCACTCAAGGATATTTTTCCATTGATTTTTTAGAGAAAGTGGAAGGTATGGGGAGAGACTGAGAAAGAGAAACATCGATGTGAGAGAGACACACCAGACAATTTCTAGCTAAAACTTCACAGCATGGTAATTAGAAGAGCCACACAGTTGGCTGCAGTATGTGTCTTCCTAACATACTAATACATCAGGCATTTTGTGTCACATTGTAAATGTTACTTTTTAAAGTAAGTAACAATTGTAGCTCATTGTAGTAAAATTCACATAACACAAAATTCACCATTTAAGTGTACAATTCAGTGACATTTAGTCTATTTCCAGTGTTATGCAGCTATCACCACTATCTAGTTAGAACAGTTTCATCACCGAAAAGGAAGCCCTGTACATATATTAAACAATTACTCCTCATTTGGCCTTACCTCCAGTCCTGGCAACCACTAATCTCCTTTCAATCTCTATGGATTTGCCTATTCCAGATATTTTACATAAATGGAATTTCACAATATATGTGCCTGGTTTCTTTCATTAGCATCTCTTCAAGGGTCATCCATGTTGTAATGTAATCAACACTTCATTCCTTTTTATGGCCTAATAATATTCCATTGTATGAATATATCACAATTTGTTTATCCAGTCTTTAGTTGATGGACTTGGGGCTATTGTGAATAGTGCTGCTGTGAACATTCTTGTCCAAGTTTTTGTTTGAACAAATGTTATCAATTCTTCATGTATATACTCAGGAATGTAATTGCTCAGTGTTATGGTAATTCACACAGAGGCTACACCATTTACATTCCCACCAATTATGTTCAGGGCTCCAGTTTCTCCCCTTCCTCACCAACACTTGTTATTGTCAGTTTTAAAAATTGTAGCTGGCCTAGTGGGTGTGAAGTGACATCTGTGGTTTTGATTAGGATTTCACTAGTGACTAATGATGATGAACACCTTTTCATGTGCTTATTGGCCATTTGTATATCTTCTTTGGAGAGAAGTGTCTATTCAAGCCCTGTGCCCCTTTGTAAAAAGGCTTGTTTTTTGTTGTTGTTAATTCTCACCTGAGGATATTTTTCCATTAATTTTTAGAGAGAGGGGAAGAGACAGAGAGAGAGAGAGAAACATTGATGTGAGAGAGACGCATCGATTGGTTGCCTCCCACACGTGCCCCAACGGTGGTCTGGGATAGAGCTTATAACGGGTATGTGCCCTTGACTGGAATCAAACCTGGGACCCTTCAGTCTGTGGGCCAATGCTCTACCTACTGAGCCAAACCAGCCTCAGTGCTTGTTTGCATTTTTGTTGTTGAATTATAGGAGTTCTTCATTGTATTTCGGATGCTACACACTTATATATGATTTGCAGGTATCTTCTCCCATTCTGTGCTCTTGATAAGTGTCCTGTGATACACAAATTTTTAAATTTTGATGTTCAGTTTATTTTTTCTTTTGTTGCTCTTGGTTTTGGTCATAGCTAAAAAACATTGCCAAATCCAAGGTCATAAAGTTGTACCCCTATATTTTCCTCTAAAAATTTTATTAACTCTTATATTTAGGTCTTTGATTGATTTTGAGTTACTTTTTACTTATGGTGTGAGGTAAGGGCCTGACTACATTGTTTGATGTGTGGATATCCACTTGTCCCATGTTGAAAGTTTAAGTTGTTTTAATGAATAGACGTTGGATTTTCTTGAATACTTTTTCTATATCAAGTGAAATGATCATGTAGTTTCTTTCATTGTATTAATGTGATATATTAGGATCCTAGAGCTATAGTAACAAAATACCATAGGCTGAGTGGCTTAAAGCAGCAGAAAGTTATTTTCTCTCAGTTCTGGAGACTACAGTCTAACATCAAGGATCAGCAGAGTTGCTTCCTTTGGGAGGCTCAGGGAACATGCATGTTATGCCTGTCTCCTACTTCGGCTAGTTCCCAGCAGTCCTTGGCATTCTTTGGCTTATTGTGTAACTCCAATCTCTGTGTTTATTTTCACATGGCATTTTCTCTCTGCATCCCTGTGTCTCTTTGTCCAAATTTCCCTCTTCTTAAAAGTCATCGGGTTAGGGGCCACCCTAATCCACTGTGACCTCATCTTAATTTGATTACATCCCTATTTCCCAATAAGGTCACATTCACAGATACTGAGGTTGGGACTTGAACATTCATCTTTTGAGGGGACTTTTCACCTTTGCCCTTTTTTAGTTCAACCTAGTACATGTGGTATATTACATTGATTTTATTATGTTAAGCCAACCTTGGGTTTCTGGAATAAATTCTAGTTGGCCATAGCATATCATCCTTTTTCATATGATGATAGACTTGATTTGCTTGTATTTTGTTGAGGGTTTTTGCATCTTTATTCATAAAAGGATATTGGTCTGTTGTTTTCTTGTGATTTCTTTATCTGGTTTTGGTAACAGAGTACTGCTGGCCTCATAGAATGAGTTAAGAAGTATTCTCTTCTGTTTTATTTTTTGGAGAATTTTTAAATGAATTAGTGTTAATTCTTTAAAATTTTGTATAATTTACCAGTAAAATTGCCTGGTCCTAGGCTTTCTTCATCAGGAGGGTTTTGATTACTGATTCAATCTCCTTATAGAATTTTTTTAAATAGTATAAAAGAATAATATGAATAATTGTACATCAAAAAATTAGGTAACCTAGATGAAATGGGCAAATTCCCAAAGAATAAATAGAAAATATGATTCATAGACTAGCTCTCATGTCACCTACACCAGCGGTTGCCAACCGGTGATCCGTGGACCACTGGTGGTCCATGAGGTCCGAAAGGTTGGCGACCGCTGACCTACACCATGAGCCTTTCCTGTTCCAAACGCAGAAATCTAATGTAATCTCTCCCTCCTTTGAATCTCTGCAGTCTTTCAGAACCGCATTGGTTCTTATCTTTTTAAAAGATTTATATTTTAATTGATTTCAGAGAGGAAGGGAGAGGGAGAGAGAGATAGAAACATCAGTGATGAGAGAGAATCATTGACCAGTGGCCTCCTGCATGCCCTACCCTGAGGATGGAGCTCGCAACCAAGGCATGTGTCCTGACCTGGAATTGAACCATGACCTCCTGGTTCATAGGTTGATGTTCAACCACTGAGCCATACTGGCCGGGTGGTTCATAAAATCTTTGTGTAGTTTTCTCCTTCCCCATAACTGCTGGGTTGGGGGATCCTTTAGGACTCAACCTTGTGGTCCCCACTGTCATAGCAATCCTGTTCCTAGCATGTTGAGAGTAGAGTGCACTGTTGGAGGTACAGGACGTGGAGGCAGGGGCTGAGGGGCTGGTGGTGAAACACTGCATTTTTAAGTGTGAGAGAACATGAGAGAGCCCAGAGAGCTATAGAGGAGTTGATACCTTTATGGGTATTCTATCATGTAGTCATATATGTAGCATCTAACAAGGAAGTATGTCCATTGCAAAATATTGTACCAATTAATATTATAGTTTTGAGTGATTGTGTCTTACTATTATAGTTTTTGCTGCCTTTTATAGTATGCCTAAATTATTTGTCCAGGATCACAGTTTCAACCAGGAGTACATATAAGACTCTGTAGAACTTTATAAAAATACAGAATGCCAGACCTGCAGCCCAGATCTGCTGAGCTAGAATCTCTGGGAGGAAGGGCCTGGGCAGTTGTAAATTACAAAATGTCCACATACACAAGAAAACAGTGGTGACCTCTGGGAGAGGGAAGGTGAGAGGAAGACTTTACACCTTTGCCCTTTTTAAATTTTAAGCTAGATGAGTATATTACATATTAAGTATATTAAATATATTATATATTGGATATATTGTGTTAAATACATGTTGAATATATTATTGTTGATATGTAATTATATATTTAATTATAACTTAAATATATAATTATAGCATTTAATTTTAAATATATCAAATATAGTTTTATGTAATGTATGGGAAATGGGTATGAATGGGGAATTACTGATTTTCCTTAATAAAGGAAGTATGACCCAGGCTTTCTGTATTGTACTAACACAGGTACCACCTGATCAAGTGGGATCCATGCTGTCCCTGACATGCATTGCTTATCTCCATATTTGTTACTTTATGTTTCAGGTGTTTGTGGCCAGTCCTCACAAAACACAGCCTATTGTGGAGATTCTGTTAAAAAATCAACCCAAACTCATTGAGTTTCTGAGCAGCTTCCAAAAAGAAAGGACGGACGATGAGCAGTTCACTGATGAGAAGAACTACTTGATTAAACAGATTCGCGACTTGAAGAAAACGGCCCCTTGAAACCTCACCCAGTTCCTGGCTAGTCACCGTCTCATGAGAGGTGCCTATTTTTCTCAGTTTATTGTTCAGTGTAGATGGAATATAAACATTTGAATGAAAAGAAACTAACCTAGAACTATATATTCAGTTTAATCAAGTCTGTGATTATGTGAAATCAGAGCCATTAATAAAAGCAATTGTAATTTTTTTGTTGATGAAAAGCAGCCCTGAGCTCTCAGTCCCTATGAACCCCTAAGATGGAGCCCAAGTGATGGGTCACTGAATCCTCAAAGAGGGTGGAATTCTCAGGGGAGCTGGGCCTGGGCAGAAGGCACGAGAGTGTTTGACTTACCTGCACTTGGGCTAATTCCTTAAGGCACTGACAGGTCTGAGAAAATAAGATCCATGTTTTCAGTCACTACGTATTGTTGTTCCTTGCCCATGTCTTTTAACTCTAATTGGTGGTTCCTGACTTCCTAGGAAATTGATGCCCACCCCCCTGCTCAGCCCTCCTTTCTGCTCACTGTCCCACATTCCATCACGAGGGATGTCCTCAGCACTCCTGACTCCTGGCACCTCTCCTCCCCCCCCCCCCCCCCCCCCCGAGATTCCCAACACACACTCCACCTGCAGTAGGGATAGCTCAGAACCAGGGATTTCCAAGGGCACAGGGGCATAGCAGACCTGGGTGGTATGACCTGCTCACTTGAAAACTCAGAACAGGTGATTCAAAACCACAGTTCTAGCTATAGTCATGGATGTTTCACACTGAATTCCATGGCATTCATGAACGTTTGGAATATTTCATTCATAATTATCATGGGGAAAATGTTTTGTGGTGAAAGTATTTCAGAGCAGGAATCATTGCATTAGGATGCCTAGAATGTACAAAGCCATGAGTCCAGAGGGTCACACAGGTCTTTAAACCACTTTTATAAATAAAGGAACATTGTCATTGGGAGTGCAGATGATTAAATGTACAAAAAAATGTCAAATGACTAAAACATTGTTCTGTTTATTTTCTAATAAGCTGCCACTCTTAATTTCCTATTAAAATATTCAAATATTCAGTGAAAAGGTAGAAAAAGTGTAAAATGTTGGTCCCAAGTACTCTCTTGCAGTTTCCAAATCACGAGTTACTGTTTTCTGTAGGAACCTTTACTTCTTACAATATTGGGTGTTGTGTTCTTCAACCAGATGTTTCTCCACCCAGAGAGGGATACATCCCTCTCCAGGCTCATGCCTTCTGTAGACTTGGCATCTGAAGGAGTACCTGGCAGGGTTTCACCCTCCTTGGCTGGGACACAGGTTCCTGTTCTGTGTGCAGCGTGGAACCCTGAGGCAGGTGGTGTGGGCCCTGGGGGGCCTTCTGGCAGCAGCTCTGGCCAATGCTGGCGTGGGAGGGTCAGCCGGCAGCCCATCTGATGCCCTTCATTCTTTAGTCTGAAGTCTATTAGAGTTTGTCTTTTCTGGTTTTGCTTATTTGATTAGAAGAGATGAGTGTAAATATATTTTTAAAAGCAAAGGCACAATAACCATTGGAAATTTACTTGGTTGCTTAAATACTGTCCCACAACATCATGGGACACATGTTTTCAGTTGCAAATAAAGGCCTTAGTTTAATCCTTTTTGATAAGTAAAACATTTTATTTTCTCTGGGTTTGAATTAGCTCTTACCTAGCAACCCCTTATCCTAGTTTGGTTAAGAGACAATAAGTGAAGTAGCTGGGGCTTTGTTGCAATACAGACTTGTAAATTATTAATGTGAAAGAGGGAGCCAGAAGCTCACAGTCAATATATACTTGCACAAAATTCACTGTAAATATTGTGAGAATTGAATTTTGAAAGGTCATATTTAATAAACTATTTCAAAAACACACATTTAAAATAAAGACTGACTAAATAAGAAGGTCCTGCATGCTCCATGGTTGGTTTGCGTGTCCTGTGTCTGTGTCTCCTCAGCACCTTAAACAGGAAAGCCCCAGGGGGAGCACGGGCGGCCTCCTGGTGGGGTGGGCTCTGGAGGCCCCGCACCATCATCCTGGGCACTGCACTGTCCGCGCCATCTGTCCATGGTGCTAACTACCATTAACCGAGCACCGCATCCAGGCACTGCACATACACATCACATTATTGCTGCCTCATGACAGCCGGAGTCATTCCCACCTTATATTTGAGGAAACTGAGGCTCTGATCAGCTTAATGATCCCAGACAGCATGGGCTAGACCTGGAAGACAAACCTACAGTGGCCTGAAGCCAAACTGCTGCTCTTCCCTCTCTCATCCTCAAGGCTGAGAACTAGGGACCGTCTAGCATGTCAGGAACTATGTGCCTTGCCCGGCTGCTGCCCAGGAGGTGTCTGGGGTTAAGGTCCTAGCGTGAAGCCAGCAGGAGTTGAGATCATAATGTTCTTGGATGAGGCTCTCGGCTGAAGCCAGGCATCTGCCCAAACGTTAGGATTATCCTTGGAGAAAAGGCCAAGTGGCCCTCAGCCCCTATCCAGCTGTTCCTGACTGCCAGCCTCCACAGGTTCATATCCTTGGAGGACTCTGGGGGGAAACAGATGCTGGGGAGGGGCGGCGAGCTTTGCCAGACCTCTGTCACTAGCCAAACCGGTTTGCTCTGAGCCATTGTGCAGCCTGGAAACTTCACAAGACCCGGAAGTGATTGTAAAATGTGAAGGAAAATGAAATAGAAAAATTGCTAGAATTTTTAAAATAAGAAAGAGCAGTTTCAAAACAGATTTACAGATTTTTCTAGACTATTGTATTAAAAGAAATTAAGATTTTTATATATTTACATGTCTTTTCTGTTGTATTCTGGCATGAATAATCACCTTGTCCTCCGTGCTCTTTCAGGAGGCTTGGTGTTGGAGTGAGGGGCCTGTAGCTGGATAAAGGTCTGAAACATATAAAAAGACCTTGAAGAGCTAGACTTGGAAAGGTCAGATGAATGTGAACAAAATTACTTTGTTTTGAAACATGGAAAGGGCTGTTATGTAACTGCTGGAATGAAAGCAAAGTAAAACAGAATGACCAGCCTGGCCTGCACTGGGCCTCCACAGACACGGCTCTGAGCAGGGTCCCTCTCCGCTCTGCGCTCTGGGGAGGGCAGCGCTGACTCCGACAGGGTGCGTCACTTGCTCCAGGTCAAGCAGCTGGCAGCAGTGGCAGGATTAGGGCCAGGCCTGACCCCAAAGTCCCTATCTTTGCAAAGCGGCTGCATGTCCAGCTGCCTCCCCGAGCATGCTCTCCGCCCCAGGGGTAGACACTTTGTTCATCATGGCTGCCAAGGAAAAGAGTAATTCCTGGCCCCTGGTGCTAAAGGATGACTCATTGGAAAGAATTCAAAAGCTAGATTCATGTAAGGGGTGGGGGTGGTGACTGCTCCACTTGGTTGTCTGATGTTTGGGAGAGCAAATGAGACAGAGGTATAGGATAGGGAATTCACCTTCGAATTTCTCCATCACCTTGAGGAACCCCTTGACTACCCAGATATTAATTTCAAACTGCAGTTCTGCACCTGATTTTGTTTACTTGGCTTGCCTTTTAGGTTGGACATAATATTAGCTTAGATTTCCCGATAGGATCGGTTACTGCACAGCCAGTCATTCCTGCGCTTCACATTCCTCAGTGGCCCAGGGCGTTCCCGTGAGGCAGAAGTTCTGATGGAGGTCCGTCTGGTTCCTGTTGGGATTGCCTGTGCCTCATCACTGCCTCCCAGGGGGAGTGTACAAGTAGCAATACTCGCAGAGTCACAAAATCACACAAAAAGTCACAGCTCCTTCACCATTAATTTAATGTCAGTTGTAATTTAATCACCACACTGTGAGCCATTACATTATGTTATTTATTTATTTATCCTCACTCAAGGATACTTTTTCCATTGCTTTTCAGAGAGAGAATGGAAGGAAAAGAGGGAGGAGGGTAGAGAAAGAGAAACATCGATGTGAGAGAGACACATCAATTGGTTGCCTCCTGCACATACCCTGACTGGGGTCAAGGATGGAACCTACAACCCAAGTACATGTCCTTGACAGGGAATCAAACCCATGACCCTTTGGTGCTCAGGCCAATGCTCAAACCACTTTTATTTTATTTTCGTTTTATTATTTATTTTTTGTTGTTAATCTTCACCTGAGGATATTTTTCTATGGGTTTTTAGAGAGAATGTAAAGGAGGGGGAGAGGAACATTGATGTGAAATTTACACATCAATTGATTGCCTCCCACATGTTCACTCACCAGGGCCAGGGAGTGAATTGAGCCTGCAACCGAGATACATGACCTTGACTGGAATTGAACTCGGGACTCTTCAGTCCACAGGTCGACACTCTATCCTCTGAGCCAAACCAGCCAGGGCACCATTTTTTATTTTTTAAAGCTGTGAACATAGGGGCCCTTTGAGAGAACCTGTTTTAATACTCATTAATTTATCCTTTAGTGAAGGTCAAAAAAAAAATGAGTTCCCCTGGTTTTACTTCTGGAATTTAAAGCCTAAAGCAACCAAAATATTAATTTATTCAAATGCTTGTTTATTCATTTAATCCAACACCCACAAACTCATTCTCCATGCCCATGAGGCTTGGCTGGGATTAGAACCTCAGATGACATACCAGGACTGGAGGGTGAGACCTTGAGTGCCTGGGAGCTGGGTGAGCGGCCTTCCCAGGTCCATCCCCCGGGCTTGAGTGGCAGGGAAGGGAAGGCAGACTTGAAGTGGGAGCCCAGGAGAAAGAGCTGGAATCCATGGAGATGGTCTGCAACCCACACCCCCCTCGTCCCCTGGCCTCCACCTTCCAGGATGTGTCACCACAGAGCTCCCCAGCCCGAGCCCAGGAGAGGAGAAGCTGATGGGGAAGGTGCAGCTGGGCTGTCCCTCCCCACCCAGGAGGGTGAGCCAGCAGGTCTGCACCAACCTGCGCAGCGTGAGTGTGGCTGCCACTCCCTTCCCCTTGCCACTCTGACAACTTCTCTTGAGACCAAGCCAATTTGTTAGTTCTGGAAACATATTCCAGCTGAGCTAGAATGACACCTCACAAACCCACCATGTTCCCCACTGAGGGAGGGAGCCGTGTCCATGTTCCCCACCCAGGGAGGGAGCCGTGTCCATGTTCCCCACCCAGGGAGCCGTGTCCATGTTCCCCACCCATGGAGCCATGTCCACAGCCTCTCATGACCTCCCCCTCTTGAAGACCTTTTTTTCCTCTAAAGTGACACGA